TCTATGTTATTTGTTTAGCAAAACATTTTAAATAGTCCCCTGAGTAAATGTTCCATAGTTTACCTAGCTGTTTTCTTATAGATGGACATTTTGTTTCCAATATTTTGTGAAAATCTTTTTTTTCTTCCTGAATTTAGGGTCCTCCCCTCCCATTAAAATAGATTCCCAGAGGTAGAATTTCTATGTTAATGGCTGTAACCATTTTAAGATTTTTGATGAAAAGCATGTTGATTTTAGGTAGATATTTTTAGTGTATCATTAATTATTCTTAGTTTTGGAAACTAAGTCACAGATAAAGTTACACGTGTTGACCAAATTTGGACCATAATAATAACAACAGCACCATTTAGCCATTATTGAATACTAGCACAGTTGTTCTAAGGACCTACTTGGATTATCTCATTTAATTCCCCAAACAACCAAAACTGAAGCTCAAGGAAGTTAGAATTGCCTGAGATCACGCAGCCGTGGAGTTGTAGTAGCACCAGAGTTTAAACCCTGGCAATCTGATTCTAGAGCACATACTTGGAACTGCCCTGCAGTACTGCCTCCTATAGAACCAACAGAGCAAAGCAAAGTTCAAGTTAAGACCAGACCAGGAGTTATACCTAGATTTCTCCATTTTTTTTAGTTGAGGTTTTTCACTGAGTTTGCAGCATTATGAAATTTCAGTTGTACATTATTCTTTGTCAGTCATCTTATAGGTGCACCCTGTCACCCTTTGTGCCCACCCCCACCCTCCTTCCCCCAGTAACCACTAATCTCTTCTCTTTATCCAGGTGTTTGTTTATCTTCCACATATGAGTAGAATCATACAGAGTTTGTCTTTCTCTATCTGGCTTATTTTGCTTAACATAATTAATACCCTCAAAGTCCATCCATGTTGTTGTGAATGGGATGGTTTTGTCATTTTTTATGGCTGAGTAGTATTCCATTGTGTATATATAAACCATATCTTCTTTATCCAGTCATCAGTCAGTGGGCACTTAGGTTGCTTCCACATCTTGGCTATTGTGAATAATGCTGCAGTGAACATAAGAGGTGCGTGAGTCTCTTTGAATTGCTGATTTCAAGTTCTTTGGATAGATACCCAGTAGTGGGATGGCTGGGTCATATGGTATTTCTGTTTTTAATTTTTTGGGAAGTCTCCATACTGTTTTCCGTAGTGGCTGCACCAGTTTGCATTCCCACCAGCAGTGTATGAGGATTCCTTTTTCTCCACGACCTCTCCAACGTTTGGTATTTTTTTGTCTTGATTATTATAGCCATTCTAACGGGTGTAAGGTGATATCTTAGCAAAGTTTTGATTTGCATTTCCCTGCTGATCATCACTATGATGAGCATCTTTTCGTGTGCCTATTGGCCATCTGTATATCTTTGGAAAATGTCTGTTCATATCCCCTGCCCATTTTTTGATTGGGTTGTTTGAGTTTTTGTTGTTGAGTTGATTTCTCCATTTTTGAGTGATGCTAGAGTTACTCTGAAGAACACTACAGAAGAACAACCTGATGTTAGTACCAAAGATTGACACACTGGCCATTTTACTCTATAAGCCAGCTTCCAGCAACAGATTGGCCGCTGCTAATCACATTGCAATTTTGAAAATTGTTCCTCTGCTTTCCCAAGCTTCTAATTGTGACCCTAACCCTTCATTGCTGCTCTGGACTGCAGTTTTCTCTTCTGGCCCTTTTAACACACCGACTGGAAGGCTTTAAATCCCAAGACACAGCCCCTTTTCCCTCTGCCCTACTTTTCCAGCCAACACCTGCTCTGTTGCTTACTGTTCTTTCACTGTTTCAGCCAGAGATCTCATAGCACTGTCGAGGCCAGTGATTCTCAACCCTGGCTATGCATCAGAACCACTGTGGAGCTTTTTAAAAGTTTGTGTGTCCCCAGAGATTGTTCAGTAGGTCTGGGGTGGGGGCCAAGTACCTGTATTTTTATAAAGCTCAAGGTAAGTCTGGTATGCAGCCAGGATTGAGAACCTCTGGTCTCTATGTCATGAGTGACAAAGATGATTATCCTTATCTCAAAGAGAAGGAAACCTTACCTGTTCTATCTGAAGTGCTTGCTGCATTCTCACAAGTCAGCAGAATACTTACAGAGTCTGTTTTTTGACGCCTAGAACCTCACCATCATCCCTCTCAGCAGTAACGAAATTTAACAATCATTGTTTAATAATTCTTTGGTAGGTACTAGCAAAGGTGCTTTAGGTAGGCCTAAAGATGAGTAAATCATCGCCTGCCTTCTAGATGCTCACAGTCTAGTCCAGGAGGCAGATACAAAAACTATAGTACCTTGTAAACATTTCTCCTAAGTATATAAACAAAAAGCTCTGAGAGCCTACTTTCTGTGGGAGTGGAGAGAGAGCTCTATGGGATGGGAGGAAAGAAGTTTGTGAAATCTTCACAGTGGAGTTAACATTGTTTTCAGAGCCTGGAAATGCTAGGAGAATTTTTGCCGGGCAAAGAAAGGGCAGACTTGGCAAGAAAACCACATGAACAAAGACAGAGCTGTGACAATGCTCAGCTTGTTCAGGAAGCAGTGAGTATTCTCCTGCAACAGGATCCTAAATATAGTATGTGATAAGACTGAAAAGGTGGGATGAGGCCAGTGGCAAACCCTTATATAGAAAGAAGCTACAAGTTGACTGATTATTAGTAAATTCTCTATAATTCCTCAAAGGAACTGACTTTCGGGCAGTGACCCAGTCCATGCTACTGTGTCATCAGGTCTCATGCAGTACTTAGGGTCAGTAGGGGTTGATGCACCTAAGTAGATGAAGTTCTAAACGGCATGTCATATTTAAATGTGTAGGCCAACATAGTGACATACTATTCAGCTGTTAAAAGAATGCAGTGCATCTACGTGTACTTATATGAAGAGATGCAAAGAGAGAAAGATACATTGTTAAGAGAAAAGAGCAAATTGCAGAGCTTTCGTGTGTAATAATCTGTGGTGTTTTTTAACATATGGTGTACTATGTGTATGCTAATAGGCATGTAGAAAATTGTGGAATGCACAGGAACATAAGGGTGAAATGAAAAGATTGAAAAGATGACTTTTTACTTTCCATCTTCACCTCTGTAACTGAGTTTTTTTTACATGCACTTTTATTACTTTTATAATCTAATTATTGTTTTAAAAAGAAAAAAAGATTTATGTTTGACCCAGAGTTTTATTAACCTTCAAGTTAACAAAATCTTCTCTTTGACTCCACAGTCCACTTCTTCCTCCATTATAACATCATAAAGGGAGAGGAAATGTCCCAACTTTTCACCACATAACATTTCCCACTGAGCTTTAGTAAGCATTTCAAATGTCTGCCACTCAAGTCTCAGAAACTTCTATATGTGCTCTGTCCCTGGCCCAGCTTTTCCTTCTCCCCTAATCCTGCCTTAAATCTGCATGTTGTAAGACCAATACTATTTTAGGACTTTCTGCTCTAAACGTACACTTCAGCCCACGTTAATGGAACTAATGACTGTAGGGGCTGTGCAGTGACTGTTGACCTGCACTGAGGAGTGAAGCAGATGAAAGTTTCTTTCCTCCTGAAATAATAACTGTGATCAGGCTGTAGAACATGAGTGTGAAAACTATCACCAGATGCTCCATGGACAGGTCCATGTCACTAACTCTTCTTCCATAGCACATGACAAAATGGGGTTTTCCAGTAATGATCTTTATTGAAGGAGCGGTATCACTTTGCTGTTTCTAAAGATACGGTTGATGAGAAAAGTTTGGGGAAAGGTCAGTTTGACTTGAGTAGAGCAAAGCACAGGGTAAAACGTGCAGGGTAACTAAATGACTGAAATTAGTACTTGTAAATCTTTATTCTGGTTAAAAGAGAGATTGTATTTTTATGTCAGCCCATCGTAAATTCAGTTGTGGATAAGTGCGGTTCAATAATTAAACTGAATTAAATGTCAGTTATAATTCAAAGACTTTGTGACTGAGAAATAAATAGATGCCCTTTCCTTGTTAATTGAAGACAGGAACACTATATCAGAAATACAGACAGCTCAGAAGGAAAGTGAGAAAATACAGTGTTTGTGGTGCGGCCTGAGGGAGAAGAAGCATTAGAATTTGCCAGAACTACTTGCCATTGTCTGTAAACAAGGGACAGGACACATTGAGAAGAGTTCTATCCGCTGTTTGATTTGCTTTACAAAGAGCAAGAACTGTGTTTCTGAAACGTTCTTTGGCATTCTTTGACTTGTGGAAAATAGTAGCCATTTATAAGTTAAGGTGGAAAGCCACATGAGGCCTGATAACTTTAACAAGTAATTGATGGAATTAATTCTTGCGGAGATTAAGAACTATCTCCATTTAACAGATATGGAAACTGAGGCAGAGGAGATGAAGGGTTGTGCTCAAGTCACATAGTGATCGTGTCAGATTTTAGAACCTGTGCACTCCTGTTTGAGAGCCACTGTGCAGGGCCTCTTTGCTCTAGCATTGCTCAAAAATATATATGGGAGTACTAATGTCAACTTAAGAAAACAGAATGTCCTTAACAACCTAAATATCTTACTGTTACCTTAGAATACTTTGTAGCTATTAAAAACGATACTATGAGTCAGTGTTAATATGGGAAATGTTCATGATGATGTTAATAAGTAGGTTACTAAATAGTATATACATTATAGTCTCCTTTTTGTATAGAAAAAATTTGAGGTGTATAATATATATCACATGCACAAGTATAGAAAAAAAACGCTTAAAGTGGTTCACCTGGATGGTTTTAAGTTTTTCTTTTAATTCTGTATCTTCTAGATTTTTACAAGTATATGTTTTACAATTGGGTGATGGAGGCTGGCAGTTAGGAAAGGGGAAGGAATATTCTAAAAGGGTGTGGTAAGAATCAAATAATTTATGTAATCTACTCACTTGGAAATCAACCCCTGAATGATTAAGTTAGCTGTAATTTTCAGTGATGACAATTCCGAAGTTTTCTATGGCTTCACTTCTGACTTTCATGACGCTCTTTTCTTTTTCAGTAACAGTGACAAGTAGCCAGAGTACTCCTGCCAAAGCCCCCAGAGTAAAGAGCAGTCCGTCCATTTCCTCCCCATCATCAGCAGCTTGTGCTCCAAGCTGTGCTGGAGATCTCCCTCTTCCTTCAAATACTCCCACGTTCTCCATTAAAACCCCTCCTGCCAAGGCCCGGTCTCCCATCAGCAGAAGAGGCTCCGTCTCCTCGGTCTCTCCCAAGCCGCCTTCATCTTTCAAGATGTCCATTAGAAATTGGATGACCCGAACACCTTCTTCATCACCACCCATCACTCCACCTGCTTCTGAGACCAAGCTTATGTCGCCAAGAAAAGCCCTCATTCCAGTGAGCCTGAAATCATCCCAAGCAGTGGCTTGCTCTGAGTCTAGAAATAGAGTAAAGAGGAGGCTAGACTCAAGTTGTCTGGAGAATGTGAAACAAAAGTGTGTGAAGAGTTGTAACTGTGTGACTGAGCTTGATGACCCAGTTGAAAAGCTTCATTTGGATCTGTGCTGCCTTGCTGGTAACCAAGAAGACCTTGGTAAGGACTCTCTCGGTCCAACCAAACCCAGCAAGATTGAAGGAGCTAGTATGAGTATCTCAGAGCCTCCTTCTCCTGCCAGTCCTTATGCTTCAGAAGGCTGTGGAACGTTACCTCTTCCTTTGGGATCTTGTGGTGAAGGATCTGAAGTGGTAGGCAAAGAGAATAGCTCCCCAGAGAATAAAAACTGGTTATTGGCCATGGCAGCCAAACGGAAGGCTGAGAATTCATCTCCACGAAGTCCATCATCCCAGACCCCCAATTCTAGAAGACAGAGCGGAAAGACTTCTCCAGGCCCGGTAAGTCAGCAATGGTGGGAAGATGCATTTCTTAACTTGAAGGGGCCCAGTGAGAAGATATAGCCCCTAACTTCAAGGGGGCAGGCACAGATCTCTTCCCAGAAGTCAGAATGCTTCTTTTTTAAAACAGGAAATCTGTTTATTCCTAGGGTTGCCAGATTTAGCACATAAAAATACAGGACACATATTGCATGGGACATTTTTATACTAAAAAGTTATTTGTTGTTTGTTTGAAATTCAAATGTAGCTAGGCATGTGCTATATTTTATCTGGCAACTCTATTTACTCTCATTAAAATCTCTTCTGTCGAGGTTTGTACCTCTCAGCCCTGTTGCCTGATTCATCAAAGCCTTCTTCATCTTCCAAGATATCAATTCAAAAATATCTTGCCTCTCCTTTGACATTGTTCCCTCCCTGTCTTATATAGATTTCCCCCACATCCTAGCCCCTGGCAACCTCTTTTTATAAACTCTCTGCCCTTTTTATAGATAAAGCTGCCGCTCGTGGGCAAGTTGCCAAGATCCATATATAGATTTCCAGTTTGTAATTACAGTTCATGATTATTTAAAATAAAATGAAACGGATTTACAAAGCAGTTTAAGTGCAGAATCCTTCTAGATTATGATTTTTCCCCAATCTTTTGTAGTTATCTTGCTCATACTAATATTTTTGGCTACTCACCTGTATCTACACTTTTTTAAACATTCAGCTTGCTTTTACTTATCTTTTTAGGACTCCTATTTCATTGGTTGACTAATATTTAAGTTAGATAATTTCAAAAACAGATATTGCTGGCACAAATAGGTTTGTGAACTGTGAATCAAAAGCAAGTGACTCATAATCATGGAGGCTGAAGTAGCTGTGAGCATTGGGTGAGCTGTGGGTACCAGTTAAAGAGAATAGAGAGCTTCTGTTAATCAGTTTACAAGTTAAGAGGGGAGATGCATTAAGGAACTTTCCACTGTGGTTCATAGTAGCTCTCGCTCTGTGTTAAGGAGAAGATGGTAGAATGATTGAAATCCAATCCAAGAATCATGAGCAGCAACGTCTGCCCTTTTAAAGGACAGAAGCTAAATAACCTTAGGCCAGTTCTAGTTTAAAAGGTATTCGTATCCCCCACCTACTATCATAAAGCCTATCCCATAATTTTAGGAAAAATAAACTAGAGGGGCCAGCCCCGTGGCCTAGTGGTTAAGTTTGGCGCACTCTGCTTTGGCAGCCCGGGTTTGGTTTCTGGGTGCAGATCTACACCACTCGTCAGGAGCCATGCTGTGGCAGTGACCCACATACAAAATAGAGGAAGACTGGCACAGATGTTAACTCAGGGCAAATCTTCCTCTGCAAAAAGAAATAAATAAACTAGAAACATTTCAAAGATTACTTCAAACACAAACTCCAGCCAAGACCTTGCTACAGAACATGAAAAGAAGCTATTAGGAGTCTTTTCTTTTCTTCTCTCAAAATTATCACTGTGTCTACTCTTTGTTTATAACTGAAATTCCTATTTTTTCAGGGGAGCTAGTCTCAGCTATGCGTTAGCAAAAATGCAATTTCAGTGAAAAGTTGTTTTCACTAATGTGTGAATCTTAAAAGCTTTATAAAATAATGTGCTAGTCTAAGACATTTCTGTAATTATAATTTTAATCTTTGAAGCTAAAATTTCTTTAAAAGAATTTTTTTCTTTATGTACATGATGATAATGTAGACTTCTTCAGAAGAGGGTAGCAGCTGCCATTTAAATACCTATCATTTGTAAATTTAGGATGGTGATTTCAAAGAGGATGGTAATTGTAACCTCTTTGGTTCCTATTAGGAGGTTCAACTGGTAAATATTTTCTGCTCACATGAAAAATCTATGCCTTCCTTCCTTGCATACTGTCTATTAAGTTTTTATTATATTCAGTACAAATCAGCCAAAAGAGACATTGCTTTCAAAATATTTGGGACTAATGGCTGACTGACTAAATAATCAAATTTCTAGACATCTTAACCTGGAATACTCTTTAGTGATAACTTGCTGAGGTAATAGCTGAACTTTATCTTAGAAAATCTCTGAAACCTAAATTTTCTTCTTCTAGGTCACCATTACGCCCAGCTCCATGAGGAAAATCTGTACATACTTCCATAGAAAATCTCAAGATGACTACTGTAGTCCTGAACAGTCAACGGAATTATAGATACTAATCTGAGTGAGTTAACTGAACTTTGGCCCATTTAAAACAAGATAAAAAATGCAGCAGAGTGACTTGGTAACTCTGGTCTTTAAGAAACCTACCATTTTTTTCATTTTTAGAGAAAATTCTTTCTACTCTGAGATTTACTTAGTCTGGTACTACTACCATAGTGTATGCACAGTTTCCTTGGGATGAATGCTGTGTTTAAATTTCATAAAGTAAGTTTGCCACTCTGTAACATTTTGAATGAGTAGTCTTCACTTTTTAACTTATGCATCTTTGCTACAATAATGACATCCCAGCTCATAGAGGCAGAAAACAAGATTCAGCTCTTGTTACTCTGAGACTCTGTGCACAGTGGAAAGTATCTGCCTAGCCACCGCAGGAGGCCTGTCTGTGAAGGCCAACTGCTGACGAAGTCTTCTGCTGAAGACCCCTGGATCTATGCTGCCTCAAATATAATTTCATTTAAAATATATAATCTTTTCACTACACTTTTGTGAGTTTTTCTTAAGTATGTGTAAAAATGTGATGTTCAGATAAGTACATTTATGTTGATTCAGTGTTAAAATACAATCTCTTAAGCTAAAATCATCTTTATTTTAAAAGCAGTGATTAATGTCGACTCTTTGGAGAAACTAGGAGAACAACACTAGAAACCATTGTCTTTTTTCCACCAAATATACCTCCCATATGAGATTTAAGGTCCCCATATTTTTACCAAGCAATCTTACCATGTTACCAATCCAACATCACATTCTATAAGAAGTTATAGTTTTTGCCATTTATTAGAGGAAGAAGATTATAAAATCAATAGTCATACACTGAAGCTGGGGTTTGAATTCAGTTCTCAGTTTTCTGGGGGCTGCAACTTTTTAAAAAAAATAAGTCATATTTTAAGAAAAAGTAATGATTTTACTGGTATTTTTATAAAAGAAGATAGCCTCAAACTGAAAATCTAGAACCTAAGAAATAAATCTTGGCTTTAACTTGATTTTTTGGATTCTCTTCATATACATGAAAAGCTATGACCTTCTGGTATAGCCCTGAGCCAAAAAGTCATGGAATTTTCTATTATTTAATATAGAGAGTGTATAGACTGACTCTAAGTTAATAATATGTAAAATGTCTTGAACATCTCTTCCCTTAATCAACAGTTATGTATCAATCATCTTGAAATGAACCATTGTTTTATGTTTTTCCCCTTTGTAATCTATAGAAACAAGTTCCATTTGCTTTCTATGTACCGTGTCCTTGAAAGAGAGTCCCCTTCCAATCATGAAACTTGATTCATTTTATCCATATCCCTGAGGACTATGTAGACTTTATTCGTATTTTCATCATGATTTTAAAATCTATTCTTAATGATAACTCTTTAATTCCTTTGATTCTTATAATGTAAGTTTGTAACAACCAGAACTGTGTAGGTCAATTAAACATGGATTCTCTATGGTTTTATCCAAGGAGAAAAATAAAGGGAAGCTGTAGAGTTGCTGTTTTTGAAACAAAGCACACCATAGCATTAACTGAATATTTAGGAACTCTTCTTATTTTTCGTGTTTGATTTTTGTGTATTAGACTGTGGGGAGGTATTATTTATGACCAATACCTGCCAATAATGCTATCTATTGTTCTTGCTTTGAAAGCCAGTGGGAAAAAGAATTCATGAAAAAGAAAAGGATAACTAAAGTAGATGGTTTTGTTCTTTGTATCCCTGCACATCTCCTGACAGCTTTCCTGAAGGAAATTGGGGTAAATGTGGCTGTCAGAAACTGTGCTGAGAGTCTACTGGGTGTAATAGGTCCCACTTGGAAAATAGAACTTCAGATGGGTGCCAAAGGTCAAATGTAATGAGATAATAATTATCCCTGCTGTGTCGGTGTCAGACTTTGAGCTGATCCTGACTAATAAAGCCTTTTACTTTATCTGATGTCCTTTTCTGAGCTTTTTGCATTAGCCTAGAAGCAGTCTACACAAAAGAACTATAGTAGTACTCAAGAATCCTTTCTACTTGTTCGTTGAATAAAATTTGTTTATTCTCAAGGATATGATCTAGTTCACGCTGAAAGAGGTTTTAATAAAATACATCTTGCTTGGTCAGACCTTGAGCTTTTAAGACGGCTTGGATTACTTGATGAGGGAGGGTGGAGTGTAGTTCTTTTTCTAAACAAGTATTTCCAGCCCAAGCTTTTCTATTTGAATACACTCCAAGCGCTATTGCTACAATGCTATACTAGAGTTTCCTTTTGGCTGTTTCAACACAGGCTCTTAATTTACTTTTGTGAGGATTGACTAATTGGTCCTTTAAAATGTCTCTTTTAATCTGAGCTGCACATTTAACTGAAGATAAATCAAGACCATGTGTAGCTACCCTTGTTGGACTGGCAGAGGGCATGTTTAGCCCACCACTCCCATTCTCCAGCCCTAATCACTTAAAACTTCACTAAGACTTTTGGAACACACCATATAGAGGGCACTTTTTAAAACCTCAGCTGTGCGATACGGATACCTGGACATAACATATGTGTGTATGTTGCTTTAACCCCCAGCTTGAAATTAGCCTATGGCCATGATCTTGTATAGGTCACATATCACATGAGCATATGCTTTTTAAGAGCTATCACTGCAGACACACACTGCTCTTAGGTCTGTTTTTCTGCTTTTCCTAGTCCCAAGAGGGTCTGGACTTCCTTTACACACTGCTCTTAAAGCAAAGGCCAAGTAGTCTCACAGAGAAAATCTGTTCCACAACTAAGTAATGTGGGCAGCATTTTAGAGATGTGCGTCAGAAGAGAGACTGGGTGAGAATGTCGTACCGGAGAAACTCCTTTGGCATTTTGGCACGGGTGGTTTCTGCTTCATAATTCTCTCAAGGGCTGAGTGTAGGCCCAGGTGAGCTCTTGCTCACCAGATGTCATTGCTTCTCACACAGGGTTTCATAGACTATTTGCTCTAGGTTTAGATCATGCCACATCACAGAGCAACCAGTTACTCATTAAGTTCTCAGGAATTATGGAAAAACCTACATTATGCATTAGCTCTTTAGATACTGGTTGGAAATTATAAGCAGGCCACACACAGCATTTTGTTGGACATGAGGTGAATCTGTTGCTTCATTAGATCTGATGCCAGGAATACAAGCCCAACTTGTTATACGGGACTATTTTGTTATCTAAAGTGGTAGAAAACCCTGTTTTATTTCTGAGCTACATTTGAGTGCAAGCTAAAAAGTGCAGGGTTGTTATGGAATGATGTAAAGTAAAATCAGCCTTAAAAAAAATCACCTGAGCATATTAAGCAGCTTGTTCAGATGAGTATACCTACAGCTAATACGTACAACACAAATGAGAGGTATTATCGGTTATTAAAGAATAGGCTTGTTCCATCCCAAAAGCTCTTCCCTCCCACTTCCATGCTAAGCGGGGAGAGAGGGTTTCAAGGATATCTAATCAGATTCTTTATTTTGAATTTCAAAGGTTTACTATTCCATTTATACTCCATTTCTCTTTAATTTCCTTAACTTGCCACATGCCCCTTCCTGTTTTGACATTCTAAATAATTTGTATTCAGGCTATTTTGTGGAATATGAATAGCTCATTTCAAAATGCCTTTGATTGGAAGGTGTTCAATTCAGCCAACATTTATTTACTCAGCAGGGTGTCAAGCCCTGTGTGTGGCACCTGGTCTGCTAAGAGATCTTCCCTTCATTTTCGGTTGTCAAAGGAGTCACTTTATCTAATGGCACTTTGGTAGTCTAAAATCAGTATTTGAGAAACAGGCAAGGACCAAATTTTGAGTCCTTTGAATGAAATTGTTTGTGAGCAGCTACTATCTAGCAGGTGCTGTCTTGATTCAGACGTTTCCCTCCAGGAACTTTGTTCAACGGCTTGTTAGAGCACCTTTAAATTTTCAAAATAAGATGCTTTCCTCATGCATATCTTTGTTATAGTCTTTACAGCATTATAAATAATACTTAAACACATGATCTTTAGAGCCAAACTGCCTGGCTTTGAATCTAAGCCTTGCCTATGTGACTTTGGGCAAGTTCTTTAACCTCTCTGTGATTCAGTTTTCTCATCTGTAAAATGGGATTGTGTGGTTATTACATGAACAGCACTTAGGACAGTGCCTGGCGCATAATAGCTAACATTTATTGAACAATTACTGCTAGCTGTTATTCTCATAAGGTAGGGAGGACAGGAGTTATTATCCATGTTTGATAAATGGACATAAGGATTTAAAGGACTTTTCAGTTCTTCACACTCATTCCTGTTCCCATTCCACTAGAGCTGTGGCCCTCAAAGGTATGGGGACTAAATCAGAATCACCTGGAAAGCTTTTTTTTTTTTTTTCAGCAAAGGAGGCCTGTGCCTCCCAGTCCTGGCAGCACTTTTCAAAAGGAGCAAATAGGCCTCTGGAAAAAATCTCCAGTTCCCCAGTGTTTGAGATTGATGACTCTTGTGGCCTCAGGCACTGTTTAAAGAAGCTCTAGTTTGCAGTCTAAACTGAATTCTTAAGCAAACTAAATCCTTTGCTCACACAGAGCCCACCCTCCCATTTCCTCTCTGCTGCCCCCAGCTCTGCTGCATTGTTTAACATGTGTTCACATTTAGGGAGGAAGCTGCAGCTCCCTGGCCTTTAGCACCAAGTCTTGATCGCTTGTTAGGCTATTGTGTTCCCTGGCCAGTGAGTAGGCCAATAAAATAAGAGTTGAAGCTCAAAGCAGGCCATGTTGCTCTCTTAGTAGCTCTGATTTTGTAGGATGCAAGATTCAAATGTTTGAGAAGTATTGTGCAGACTCTAGATTCTTTGCTCTCACTTAATGAGATTCTTCCCTGGCCTTCTTTTTGATGCCAATAATACTTGTTGCCATTGTCATTGTCAGTGCCAAAATACCAACTATCAAGATTTCTTTGAGAATTTAGTGGACAAATTCAACACTGGGGTTTCAGTTGGCATCTGAGCACCAAATTATGCTGTCACTGCTGATGTTCAAGACCGTGGTTTCCAACTTA